GTGACACACAAAAACCCTCCCCCCCCCCCCCTTTTTAGAAAGATGAGGAGAGGTGTAGATGTTCTGTAGTCCTAAAACACTTGCTGTTCTAGGTTGACAGCGTCAACCTACAATGTACATTGTTAATGCATGCAGCTAAGTATGGCGGACCAGTGAAGCCACAGCTCTGCACCCCGCCGGCTGCTTTCTAGCTAATCTCAACTGATCAGAGGACCACACAGCTCTGAAAACCCCCTGCCCTAGCTCCCACAATACTCCACCACTGCTATATGGCAAAAGGCAAACAAAAGCAGTGCATTATTCAGCCGCCTGGTGATCCACCTCCAGCCACAGCAGACCACAACATGGCGTTTGCACTCCTGCCACCAACACTGCTGCACTCTAGCACAGCCTCACATATGGGGGATACCCAGAAGAGTCCTTTGTACACAACTGAGCTCACTCCATCTTCTGCACCTTCAGCTGAGGGCTCCCCTTTCAGAGATTCTCCTCCATGCATACATTGTACTCTGCACAGCTAGCACGCAATAAGAGACAAGAGGCTAGTCAGAACAGCTTGGGATACAGCCCTACACACCTTTGGGTCACTGACCCACCACTAGTATTATGGGGACCCTGTAATACTTGCTAGATTTTCCAAACTACTGGAAGGGGTCTAGAAAAAGCGAGTAAGCACATCAACTCTGAATTGAAATGTGAATCTAAAGAGCTTCTGTATAGAGACCATTGAAAGAAAATTCGATGCAACAATGAATAAAACATACAAAAATACTGACCACATCTAAGATCTCCACAAACAATTAGAGGATGCTCTTGCTAAAATTGTTGACCTGGAGAAAAAAAAATACCGATTATAATTTTCACATAAGCAGACTCCCAGAAACATTTGCCAATGTGGAAGCGGCAATCAGAACTGTTACAGGATCTCATATTGAATATTCCTACTCCCAGGTTAGAGCGGGGTTAACCAACCTCGACATTCCAGCTGAGGTGAAACTACAAATCCCTTCATTTCTTTGCCTCTGGGAGTCCTACCTGTGGCTGTCAAAATCTTGCAATGCCTTAATGGAACTTGTAGTTCCACGAATGCTGTTGTGGGAGGTAGATCGTGCACATAGGGCCCTAACCGCCCAGCGCCTTGGATGGCAACCCAAGAGATATCATTGTTAAACTACACTTTTACAATGTTAAGGAGCAAGTGATGCAAAAAGTCAGAGAGTACGCTAAAATATGACTCGGAGGTCATGTCATCCAAATCTATGGGGGTATTCGCCACCGTATGAAAAAGCAGAGCACTGAAACCTTGTTTTTTTTTTTTTTTTAAAAGGAATAAAATACCAGTGGCTCTTCCCTTTTCGTCTGCTGTTTATCTTGCATAACAAAACACTTCTCCACGTTCCAAGAGAGCATATTGTTTATCGTGCATCCCCTTCAGTATATTTAGTTTTCTGTTGGTTGGGCAGAATGCGCAGAAAAGTCATAAAAAGTAGGAAAGAGTACAGATGGTTCTATGACGGGATGCCCACTCAGCAATGGCTTTTTTTTTTTGCCAGGTGTCCAATAGCCTTATTTAAAATTCCAGCACCCACATTTAGAAAAATACAATTAATATTTTGCAGGTCAATAAATGTCATGGCAACTCAAGTAAGCAGTTGACATTTTTCATGAAGTTTTTGTGGCCTTGGTCCTACTTTCCACTGCGGCTATTGTTTAGCTTGTAGTATTCGTGAAATAATTGTCAGCGTTGCCTGGCAGCTCCGGTTACTGACCGTTCCAAAACAGAAGCTAACAGTAATTTCTTGCTCTCAGTTTTTGCTGACCATCCTAACCTGTGCAAAAAAATCTGGCTAAACGGGTTTGTCAACCTTTACAATTAATGACATCTAAACCTCTTAAGTGTCTCTAATATTTAGGGAATGTGGAGTTTCCCAGGTTGCCACCTGACTAGAGGTAAGCATGTATTTGGCAGTCATTATGAAATATTAGGTTACACTATTATGACATTGTTCCTGTTCTAAAGGTCCCCACACACCTTACGATAATCGCGGGAAATCCCGCGATCGTACGATTATCGTAAGGTGTGTGGAAGCCGTGCGACCTCTACTACTGTAAGGTCGCACGACTTTGAACTTACGGACATGTTCGAAAACCCGCCGAGCATCGTTCGGCGGGTTTGTGGCATGTCCGTACGATAACAGCCGTACGGGCCGGTGTGCGCAAGCGCACACTGCCCGTTCGGCTTTGCGGTCATCGGAAGCCCGTCCCTCAGGGGGCGTGGCTTGTGATCATCGCAAGTACGATCTGCCTATGCAAGATGGGCAGATCGTATGTTTGTTTTTTTAAGTACCTTACAACCATCGCAAGACAAAAGTCTTGCGATGGTTGTAAGGTGTGTGCCCAGCCTTACGCATACAGCCACATTCTGACACAATGTAGGCGTGTGATTAATCATTACAGCTACTGGTGTGAACAGATTTGATTTATGCAGAGCAATGAGAGTAAAGGACATTAAATGACAACCTACTAAAGATGGCCCAAAATGAACTGATAATTTCACGTGATTCTCTGATTTTACAGTACAGTATTGTGTGTGTGATTATTGTAAATATTGGGTTATTTGTGACTACCTAGGAGGGGATAATGAGCACACTTAATGAGGGCACGCATGATTACTCATTGAGATTTTCCAACCCCACAATCTCCTTGCCGCAGCACCTAACCCTTTCCTTTGCTGTGAAAAAGATAAATGGATAAAAGTAGCATGTAAGCATTGTTGTCTGCATTGAACGAGGATAACTGTAGGACCTGGCACTCATGAACTTTCTAAGAATGGGCAGAACTTTCCACATCTTATTTAAGCATGTTCAGAAGGTGGATAGGGTATGTGGTACGTTAGACTACAGGTGCTAAATCTTTTATATGATGTGACCTGTCTGTCAGACTGCCGTTGTTCTGGAGACCAAATAGGCAGTGCACTTGGACACTTGAGAACAGTAGCATGGAGAGTCTCCAATAACGCAAAAGTTAGTTCTCTGTTTGAAAGTTTTGAGTCAGTAGCTTTCTGAACAGTGCTTTCTGTTTTTCTATACCCTTAAGGACTACTAATTCTTCTTGTTTTTTTTTAACTTTTACAAATTTTTATTATAATTTGACAACACAAGTAAAAATACATTACACAAGGCATCCCATATGGTAGGTATAGATATATAGTCTATTTAAATGAAACGTCACCGCCACAACGGAACGCAGGATTCAGAAAGTAAAAATAAATTAAATACAATGAAAACGTTAACCTTTGTGATGTATGTAAATACAGGTGAAACTCGAATAATTAGAATATCGTGCAAAAGTTCATTTATTTCACTAATGCAACTTAAAAGGTGAAACTAATATATGAGATAGACTCATTACATGCAAAGCAAGATAGTTCAAGCCGTGATTTGTCATAATTGTGATGATTATGGCTTACAGCTCATGAAAACCCCAAATCCACAATCTCAGAAAATTAGAATATTGTGAAAAGGTGCAATATATTCTAGGCTCAAAGTGTCCCACTCTAATCAGCTAATTAAGCCATAACACCTGCAAAGGGTT